ATCGATGAGAGATAAACATCATTTGGCTGCCTCCTGCACGCCCCCTGCTGGGGACGAAGCCAGCAACGGGGGCATGTGCCCTTTTGGGAATCAAACTGTGACCTCTTGGTTCATGGGTTGACAAGCAAACCACTGAGCCACCCCAACTGGGCAGCTTTTTTTTTTTTAATGAGAGAGGAAGGGAGAGGGAGAGAGGAACATCGATGTGGGAGGGAAAGGTCCATCAGTTGCCTCCTGCACATCCCCAACCGGGGGTGGAGCCTGCAACCCAGGCATGTGCCCTGACTGGGAACTGAACGGCAACCTTTTGGTGCACAGGAAGATGATGCCCAACCCACTGAGCCGCACCGGCTAGGGCTCAGGGGGATTTTCTGGAAGCAAACGTTGAAGTGCATCACACATAGAAGTGGACACATCCTGCATGGACAGCTGGGTGCATTTTTACAGGCTGACACCCCCCCACCCCGCCCCCGGGGAGCCGTTCCCAGCTCCAGCTCGGCTCCCCATTCCAGTTCTCTCCAAAGGGGGGGCACCAGCCTGACCTCTGACCCCCAGCTGAGTTTTGCCTGTCCTTGAACTTCCTGTAAGTGGAATCCGTGGCCAGTGCTCCTCTGCGCCCAGCTCCTTTCGCTCATTCCTCGGGGCCTGGAGGCTACACTCTCCGTGGTGAGCACGTGGGCCGGTTCCCGCGTGGGGCCATCGTGATTAAAGTGGCCCCGAACCTCATTTCGGTGACTCTGTTTCCACCCGGGAGCTACCGGGAGTGGAATCGCCGGGACCAGCTAAGGCACGTCCAGTTCTAGAGGCTTCAACCAGGGCCCCCGGGGGCTGCAGGAGGAATGAAGGTCGGTTATGTTCCTGTCCTTTTGCCTCTGCCTCAGTTCGGCAGCAGAGCGACTTGTAACCCAGGTCAGTTCACACCCACCCTCTGCTCGGGGTTCTCCAGGGGGCCCTGGCGCCCCGAGAGCACATCCCGCCCCAGCCTTTCGGGGTGCCTGCCGCTCTCGATCTTGTCCCATCAGACTGGGGCCACCATGACCTTGTCCTGGTTCTCTCGCTGCCCTCACCACTTGGGCCTCCTGCTGAGCCTCACCCACCGGGCCCTCTCCTGCCACAGGGCCTTTGCACCTGCTGTTGCCGCCGCCTGAGCCCTCCCCCCCAGGGCTCACTCCCTCACGCCCTGTCCTCGGAGGCCGGGCCCCCACCTGATGGAGAGCGTTGCCGCCACTTGCTGTGCGGAAGGCAGGGCTCTGTCTGGCTTGTTGGCCGCTGGTTCAGTTTTCATCCCCAGGGACGCCCTGGAACCTGCCCACACCCACAGCCGCCCCTGCAAATACTCCGTCCCCCCTTCAGCATGTCCCCCCCACTCCTCGCACGTTCCTCTCCAAGTCACAGTCCCCAGTTCCTCCCCCCGCCCCCCCCAACTTCAGAAAAACACACGGAGGAGCCCACGCTGGC